GATCCTCTCTGTTCTTCAACTGCTGCAGATTCTCTGCATAAGAGCTCGAGTTATGGTAAGCCTTCTCATGAATCATCTGTTGCATATCCTATCTTCTTTTTTCTGAATGTGGCTACTGAACAGCATGCTTTGATAAAATAATGTTAGGGGACTCCTGTAAATATCACACTCAGGTCACACGTCTGGGTCGAGGATCCAGAACTCTCGTGGATTAATGGAGAAGTCATAGAAATCAAAGGCACCAATGCCACAATACTCGCAGCAATCGGGAAAACAGTAAGAAGCTACTTTTCATTTGATCCAAAACTACACGAAATGGAAAACATTTGCTTTAAGATTTGAATTTTTGACAGCTTGTTGCTAGCATTTCTAGTATCTATCCAAAGGATACAGAGGCCCCGCCTGCAGGAGTTGACGACATGACTAAACTGGCTTACCTCCATGAGCCAGGGGTCCTCCATAACCTTGCTTGCCGGTTTGCTCTAAACGAAATATATGTCAGTATCTACGACATTCGATTGATTAAAATTTTTGAAAGTCGATGTTAAGATTATCTGATTGCAAACCCTTGGATAGAGCAGACTTACACTGGAAACATCTTGATTGCGGTGAATCCATTCCAAAGACTTCCGCATTTGTATAGCGTCCATATGATGGAACAATATAAAGGAGCTGCGTTTGGAGAGCTAAGCCCGCATCTATTTGCTGTTGCAGACACCAGTTACAGGTAGAAGTTGTTAATCCCTGAGTAAAGATTTTTAAGCACTTACTGTAAGGATATTAGCTCACCAAAAGATTTCCGTATACCAGGGCGATGATAAATGAGGCGAAAAGCCAGTCCATTTTGGTTAGCGGAGAAAGCGGAGCTGGAAAAACAGAGACAACCAAAATGCTCATGAGATATCTTGCATTCATGGGAGGCAGATCAGATACCGAAGGGAGAAGCGTTGAACAACAAGTTTTAGAGGTGAGCTACTTGTTACGCCTACCACGTATGATCTTAAATTGATTCCACCACTCTAAATTGTTCTGTTCCAGTCTAATCCAGTGTTGGAAGCTTTTGGAAATGCCAAAACTGTTAAAAACAACAATTCAAGGTGGTGTCTATGAAACACTTACTTCAGACATATTTTTCATTTTTTCTGCTGGCTCATTTTGTGTTGGCTATTTGTAATTCTCTGGGCTAAAACAGTCGGTTTGGAAAATTTGTTGAGATCCAATTTGACAAGCGTGGGAAAATATCTGGCGCTGCAATCCGCACTTATCTTCTCGAACGGTCTCGTGTTTGCCAAGTCTCAGACCCTGAGAGGAACTATCATTGCTTCTACATGCTCTGTGCAGCACCGCCTGAGGTAACTCTTCAGTAACAATCCTGAAAGAAATAGAGCTGGAGAAATTATCAGTACAACGATTTTAACAATATGTGTGATTTTCAGGAAGTTAAGAAGTTCAAGCTAGGGGATCCGAGGACGTTCCACTATCTAAATCAAACGAACTGCTATGAGGTTTCTAATGTAGATGATGCAAGAGAGTATATGGAGACTAGAAATGCCATGGACATTGTGGGTATTGGACAAGAGGCTCAGGTTTGTCTCATGACTCTCAATCTATTATCTCAAAATGATGATAGAAATTTCAAATACTGACCAGAAACCTTCAACTTTAGGATGCCATATTCCGCGTTGTAGCTGCAATCCTCCACCTTGGAAATGTCAAATTTATCAAAGGAGAAGAGGCGGATTCTTCAAAACTCAGGGATGATAAGTCAAGATATCATCTTCAAACAGCAGCAGAGTTACTCATGTATGTTCTTCTAGCAATGCAATTAATACCACCAGACCTAAAAAATTCTGCATAGTTCCAATGACAATGCTGACGAATCTGCAACTATTCATTTGTCGCAGGTGCAATGAGAAGATGCTGGAAGATTCACTCTGCAAGCGTGTAATTGTCACTCCAGATGGTAACATCACAAAGCCGCTTGACCCGGAATCCGCAGCTCTAAACCGTGATGCTTTAGCCAAGACAGTATACTCCAGGCTGTTTGACTGGTAAGTAAATCCAACCTCTGAAACAAAAAAAAAAGAAGAAGGATAATTTGACACAATCATTAAGTAAAAGCTTCTCAAACATATACATAGCAGTGGAGGGACGGAACACTCCTTTAGCTTGTTGCCTTCCAGACTTTGTCTAATATAATCACTTCTCAGTTTGAGCAATCTCCAATAGTGACATGTACACTACTCAATTATGGCAGGATTGTGGATAAGATCAACAGTTCAATAGGTCAAGACCCGAATGCTACAAGCTTGATCGGAGTCCTCGACATTTATGGTTTTGAAAGCTTCAAGATCAACAGGTAAAACTTGACAGAAATCATAAACCTGAACGAGAGTACCCATAGAACTAAAGATCTAATACCACGTTTCTGCTGATAGTTTTGAGCAGCTATGCATCAATCTCACAAATGAGAAGTTGCAACAGCATTTCAATCAGGTAGGAAACAAAATCACTGCAACCAGTTCTCATTGCAAGCAACTTTTACATGGAACAATATTTCTCTGCAGCATGTGTTCAAGATGGAGCAAGAGGAATACACGAGGGAGGAAATAGACTGGAGCTATGTTGAATTTGTTGACAACCAAGATGTCTTAGATCTAATTGAGAAGGTATAAATTATGAAACTAACATCACAAATCTGGATGACATGTAAAACCGCAGAAAATAATCAATGGCATTTTTTTCTTGCAGAAACCAGGAGGCATAATTGCCCTACTTGATGAAGCATGGTAAAGTGTAATCCTACTTTTTAGGAGAGAGTACAGTTTCAAAATATCATTTCATAGTAACAAGTAAAACTGGTTCCTTTCTGCATAACCATAAGGTTCAACCTTGCAGCATGTTTCCCAAGTCGACTCATGAGACGTTTGCACAGAAGATGTATCAAACATATAAAGGACACAAGCGTTTCAGCAAACCTAAGCTTGCCCAAACAGCCTTCACAGTCAATCACTATGCAGGAGATGTGAGATAACCAAAAAATTTAAATGCTAAGCTAAAGTAAGTACATCAGCTAATTACTAATCACACTTTTCTGCCTTAGGTTACGTATTCAGCAGAGCAATTTCTCGACAAGAACAAGGATTATGTAGTGGCAGAACACCAAGCTCTCTTAGATGCATCTAAGTGCTCTTTTGTGGCCAATTTGTTTCCACCACTTCCAGAGGACGCATCAAAGCAGTCCAAATTTTCATCAATTGGGACCCGTTTCAAGGTAAGTCAATAGAAAACATATCATTTGCTCAATGCTTAAGATCTTGATTTTCTGACGTAACCTACCTCCAGCAACAACTCCAAGCTCTAATGGAGACGCTGAGCACAACGGAGCCCCATTATATTAGATGCGTGAAGCCAAATACAGTTCTAAAGCCTGGGATTTTTGAGAATGACAACGTCCTAAACCAACTAAGATGCGGAGTAAGCCTTAAGCCTCAGGGTTTATATTTGAACAAGTTCATGTTTTCCCATAAAGTTTTTGCTAATAGCAGATCTTGATAAGTGAACAGGGTGTACTGGAAGCTATAAGAATCAGTTGTGCCGGTTATCCAACAAAACGAGCATTCGATGAATTTCTTGATCGTTTTGTGATGCTAGCAACAGATGTTCCAGAAGGGTAAAAATACTGAATAAAAAATCTAGAAAGAAGACATAACCAGTTTGATCTTATTATCTCCTGATCCAATCAACACTGAGAAATTTACATTATCTCTTGACAGATCCGATGAAAAGTCAGCATGTGCTTCCATCTGCGACAAAATGGGTTTAAAAGGCTACCAGGTACGTCAAATACGAATAGTTAAAGTAACCCGTTCGCTAACAGTTTAATCTAAACTTGCATTCTGATTACTCATCTTCAGATAGGAAAAACAAAGATATTTCTTAGGGCCGGACAGATGGCTGAACTAGATGCAAGAAGAAATGAGGTTTTGGCTGGTGCCACTAAACGCATTCAGAGGCAGATCAGAACTTACTTGACACGAAAAGAGTTCCTTAGGCAGAAATGGGCTACAATATCTATGCAAAAACTTTGGAGAGGTTTTATTCTTCTACCTATGTCTCAACAGTAACACCCTACCCAACACAAAGATATAAAACTGTTAAAAATAATTAATAGAGCCATTTATACTATGAACGGGCAGAATACTAGCAGCCTCATGATGTCACAAACTAATCCAAATTTCAGCCAGGACACAATGTTCTTCTCATTAACTGTGTCTCATGTGTATTGCTTATATAGCACAACTTGCACGCAAGTTGTATCAAAACATGCGAAGGGAAGCTGCTTCAATTTGCATCCAAAAGAACATTCGTGCTCACAGAGCAAGGAAATGCTACACTAAGCTCCAGGCATCAGCAACAGTAATTCAAACTGGTTTCCGGACAATGGCTGCTCGAAACAAACATAGACACAGAAGAAGAACAAAGGCAGCAATTATAGTTCAGGTACTAGATTTTGACTACTTTATCACACTTCTTATTTTCCTATCAAAATATCAGAAGTTTCTGGACTTGCCTTCTATAATCTCAGACTAGTTACTCCGAAGGATTAAATTAGAAATAGTGAAAAGCATCTTATATGGTTTCAAAATTTGGATTATTCTTCACCCAAAAGGAGTCAAGATTATAATCAAGGAAACCTATGCATGTGCTCGAAGATGTATGAAAGATTAGATGTCAAGCAATAAGGTTATTGTATTGTCTGAGGACCGAATAATGAGGAAGAGACAGGCTGTATACGGTGAAGATGATTTTGATATACTAATTATGATAATTCTGACTGATATATCTCTTCTAACAGAGGGAATGGAGAAGACACCAAGCTCATGAAGCTTATAAGCAGTACAAAAAAGCAACCCTAGCATTACAATGTCTATGGAGAGCTAAAGTAGCTCGAAAAGAGCTAAAAAATCTCAGAATGGTAAGTTTCATTGATAAGAGGGTACTTTGAGTGACTAATCTCATAAAAATTAATCTACGAGGCAGGCAGTTCTTCACTCTACGTTACTAAAAAGATTCTAACAATAAAATATTTTCAAACAAGGCTGCAAGAGAAACTGGGGCGCTCAAGGAAGCTAAGGACAAGTTAGAGAAGCGTGTGGAAGAGCTAACCTGGCGTCTCGAACTAGAGAAGCATCAAAAGGTACTTGTCAATGAAATTAGAAAGTGGAGCTACTGCTATCTATTAACGTGGATGAAAGCACAAACTACATAGTGAATTAATTCCAAAAATATGCATTAGGTTGATCTCGAAGAAGCCAAAGCACAAGAAATCGCAAACCTACAAAATACTTTAAGTGAATTGCAAGAGAAGCTAGATGAAGCCCACGCTGCAATCTTACGAGAGAAAGAAGCAGCAAAATTAGCCATTGAACAAGCTCCACCAGTCATCAAAGAGGTTCCAGTTGTAGACAACACTCAACTGGAGTTACTGAACAGTCAAAACAATGAACTGAAGGTAAATTTGAGCTACAGCTTCCACTAACTAGCAGATATTTTCCTGATACAATATCTTCAAAATGCAGGTCGAGGTAAAGGAATTAAAAGGAAAGATTGAGGAGTTTGAAGCACTATGTTCTGCACTTGAGAGAGATAGCAAGGCAAGTCTAACTGAAGCAGAAGATGCAAAAGCAAAGGCTATCCAACTTCAAGAGATCATTGAAAGGTAAGGATTCAACTGGTTCCTTAAGGCATTGAAATCATATATTCTGTTTTACAGTTGGAATTCAAGAGAATTGTTGGTAAATTTCAGATTACATACGAACCTGTCAAATCTTGAATCCGAAAATCAGGTCTTGCGCCAGCAGGCTTTGGCTGCTTCAACAAGTGCCGAAGAGTCTGAAGAGTTAAACAGGTACAGTCCTAGGAGCGGAACAGTTTTGTCATCTTAGTACGTTTTTTTTTTCTTCCGGGCATAACTGTGTGGATTTGAAAGCTTTCCAGTCAACCTCATTTAAAAACGAAAAGAAAAACACTCTGATCAGAAATTGTATTTGCATATCATTACATATCTAAACATACCCTTTTATCAGCCTGAAGGACAAAGTGGCAATTCTAGAGTCCGAAAATGAATCTCTTCGCAGGCAGACAGTTGCGGTAGAAAAGACAGTGCCTCCTCCTGAAGGAGTTTTTGCATCTGCAAAGGTACAAAACGTCTATCAACATGTCTCTTATTAGCAAATACAAATGTATAACATTAACATTTGAATCTATGTAATATAACTGTGCAGGATCTTGAAAATGGACATCAAGCAGAGGAGATTCAGGAAACAAAGGTACAGTATCTAGCTAGGCCCAGTTAAGAAACAGTACTCTACAATTCCTCATCTCTTCTTATTTGTTTTAGGAGCCAAGGAATCCAACCATTGTGTTAGCAAAACAAAGATCTCTAACAGATAGGCAACAGGTATCATTCTGAGAACTTGTTTTTTATAAAAAGCGATAAGCTGATAACCAACAAAACAAACAGAAGATATTTCAAAATCTGTTTCACTACAGAAGAATTTAATACGAGTATTACCGAACAGGAGAACCATGATGTGCTGGTGAAATGCCTCACCGACGAGAGAAGGTTTGATAATGACAGATCTGTCGCAGCATGGATAATTTACAAGGCACTACTTCAATGGAGATCATTTGAAGCAGATAAAACAATTATATTTGATAGAATTGCTCAAACAATTCGATCGTCCATTGAGGTAATAAAATAATGTATGTCAATAAAAACAGTGAAATTATGAAGCTTCTGAAACCAAAAACTAAATATTCAAGTTATACTAATTTTTATCCAGAAGAGCCAAGATGACACAAGGGAGCTAACTTATTGGCTCACAACAAGCTCTACACTCTTATACCTTCTACAATCTACACTCAAGTTCAGCAATACAAATAATTCGGCTTCAAAACGTAATCGATCAGCCCAGGCTACACTATTTGGGCGATTGGTCCAAGTAAGCTTTGTAACAGTGAACCTACGATCCAATTTGTAAGAGCCTTGCTAATTGTCGGTAACAATATTGTAGAGAATGCAATCATCTTCAATGGGGATGGAAACATCCAGTGGCTACAGTGGGATGGTTGGAATATCAAACGACCAGCAGATGGTTGAAGCTAAATACCCGGCTTTACTATTCAAGCAACACTTAGCCGCATACGTTGAGAAAACATATGGAATGATCCGAGATAAATTAAAGAAAGAGATAAACCCATTACTAAATCTCTGTATCCATGTCAGTACATCATTCACCAAGTTACTACTGAACTTATCTTAGGGATCGGCTAATGACGTATTTAACAATGTGATACATGTAATGTAACAGGCACCAAGACCGACAAGAGCCAGAACCTTGCGAGAGGTGACTAAAAGCATCCACTTGACCACAACTGCCAAGCAACAGGCATCATATGTACAATGGCAGAACATCATCAATAAGCTTGAACATACCTTACACTTTATGGCAGAGAACCATGTTAGAGAATGCACTTTCAAATATTTTCATCTCAAGCTTAAATTTTACTCATCATGTTTCTTGACTGAGTCTTAATTATCTCCAGGTCCCATCTATGATCACAAGAAAACTCTTTCATCAGGTTTTCTCATACATAAATGTGCAGCTCTTTAACAGGTAAAGAAAATATACTGCATATGACACAACTAGCTGCATTTAGTTACGAGGTAGGTTGACTTACAAAATTTCTATTCTGGCAGTTTGTTGCTTCGCCGAGAGTGTTGTTCGTTTAGCAACGGAGAATATCTGAAAATGGGATTGCATGAATTAGAGCAGTGGTGCCTGAAGGCAGAAGACGAGGTAGGCTAAAGCATTAATATCCAAATCACGCGAAGAGCACAAGACAAAAAGATAAACTTTGTAATTATAATTTGTTTGTCTTCTACAGGCAGCACGATCACCATGGGATGAACTCCAACCCATAAGGCAAGCAGTGAAGTTCCTGGTAAAACTTTGAACCATATCAATTGGTGAAAATACATAATTAGTGATACTTCGGCATTTGATATATACTATCACTCTATAGGTCTCGCATCAAAAGACACAGAAATCATTGGTCGTGATCACAAAAGAGATATGCCCGGTAATGACCTTAAACCACAACCTTCTACAAAGCATATATAAGGATCATACTCTGGCACAATATCTTACTCACCAATAACTATATATAATTCTTGATTTGATTATGAGAAAAACAACTATTTTCCTGATTTGTTAGTTGTTACAATTCTCAAATTCTTTTCTTTTCTTCTCAGGTACTAAGCATTCCACAAGTATATCGTATCGCGACAATGTTTTGGGACGATAAATATGGAACTCAAGGACTCTCCTCTGAGGTAAGCAATGGATTATTAACCAAACCAACTCCAAAACTTTATAAGGAAAATTCACAGAACAAACCTAACAAAAACATAATATCACTATGTTCTTACAATCAATTGGCTTTCCTAGTTGTTGTCTTAAACAATATCCAGTTATGTTTTGTCCTTTGCTCAATTAAACCCAAACCTGGACTCATGAATCATGATCTGACGACTTGTTGTGCCGATAATTAGGTGATCAAGCAGATGAGGAAACTAATGTCGGAAGATTCAACCAACATGAGTTACCCTTCATTCTTGCTAGACGTCGATTCAAGGTATTTAAAAAAAAACATAATTTTTCGATTTTTCTCTCTCCCTAATTACTCTCGAATCTTCAATGCAAAATCATTGTTTTCCGGTATCTTCCAGCATTCCTTTCTCAGTGGAAGATGTTTCACAATCCTTCCACGGTGGCACCATTAACCTCTCCGACGTCGATCCACCGCCGCTTCTCCGGCAACGATCTGATTTCAACTTCTTGTTCTCAGACATTGCCTGAATAAGGAAAACAATAAAGAAAGTCTCATTTCTTTTGACCAACAAAAAAAAAAGAAAAAGAAAGTCTCATTTCCAAGATTTGGATTTTACAATTAAACCCATGATTTTTTGCATATATTACAAAAAAGGGAAGCTTTTTTCCTTTTCTTTCCATTTTTTTCCCTCACCAGAAGCAAAAAGTTGTATTCTTCTTTTTTTGTTTTTTGGTTTGGGGGGTTTTCTTTGTTCCATTCCTTACAAATTACTTTATTTCTACTATATATGTTGATGAGATTGGATTTGTAACATTTGTTTTTTGAAAGAAAAACAATTGGTGTTCAAATTTTAGATTTTAGATATTTCCTAAAAAAAGGAGCAAGCTAAAATAGAGGGATAATTAGGATATATGGAAAAAAGTTAGCATGTTTCTATAAAAATGCTAAAATTGAAGGATGATCATATGATAAAATTGACATTCTTTTCGTACCAGATAAAAAACAAAACTCACTAAACGAATTAGAGGGGTCTAGCTTAAAACCCAGTCTCTGTTAAAAAATTCACAAGACAGAGCTATCAAAATTTCTCCGACAATGGAGTGTGTAGTTCCGTTATGGCGGAGCTTTTGTCTCAGTCCACCGGAGATACGTCACCGCGTCGTTAACCAAAACCACCG